ATACAATATATACAGTATATGTGCATAACTAGTAAATTGAGGAATTTTTCACCGTTGATTGTTTTCTGTTTCACCCACCATGGTAAATAAGCATAAGTTATGTGTCTAGCACAATTGTGTTAGGCAGCCGCACCCTACATCGTTTTTTGTCTGGTAATTAAATAAATTTGCACAGGGTAATGTTTATTTTTAAATGAAATAATTTATTTTTATAAAAAGTAGTATAATTAATTAAACAAAAAATTTAAATTGTGTTTTAGTTATTATAATATATTAAACAAAAAAGAATAGTATTAATTATTATTATTATTAATATCAAATACAACTATAAATAAAATTTTACAATTTGCTTTTTAAATGTTTGCATTTCAAGAAATCATAGACAGAGAGGAGGGGGAGAGAGAAATAATAATTATAATAATTATGGTATTTTACAAAATAAATAATAATTATTAAAAAATATATATTGAAATTCAAACATGACTTTTCAAAAGTATTGGATAAGAGGCTGAGAGAATGGGGAGAGTGTGTGTAAGAGAGAGGTGATTTTGGTATGAATTTACAAATAATGATAATGGTAATTAAGTTTTACACAGACAAAAATACATCATTGAATTAATAATTAAATAATAATCATATTCTCCACTAAATTTTCATTCACTTAAATGTCTCTCTCATTATCTCTCTCTCCCTCTCACATGTGTTATTCATTGTGTGAAGAGATTTAATTATATTTATAATATTTATATTTATATAATATATTTATATAATAATAATAAGTAATACTAATCAATAAAACAAACAATTATTTAATAATAATAATAATATTTTGGTTTTCTTTGTATGTAATTAATCCGTGAAAATTGTGTTCACATTTTCGGCTGGTTTTCAATAAAAAGTAAAAGTAATTCAATAATAATAATAATAACTAAATTCATTGATGTTTTAAATGTAAACCAAAACACGGATTAAGACATTATCCCTATATTTAATCAAATTTTATAATAATATATCGCTTTTTGTTATTTCTATGAGAGTGATTAGACTTTTAACTCGTGTAAAACACAGTAATTTTTAACAGGCATTGAATGCTGGGAATGGGGTAACGACGCCCTCCTCTCCAACAGATTGCTGTGAGGATTACCGGCACTACCGGTGCTGTTGTTGTTGTTGTTATAGTGGTTCGGGTAACGACCGGAACCGTTGTTGTTGTTGTGATTATTGTTGGCCATTGGCGACTGACTCACCGCACCGTACGGGCTCTCGTAGATGTGTTGGTGCGGGTACTGGTGCTGTTGTTGTTGGTGTTGCTGTTGCTTTTGATGGCCACCACCCATGTTATCGACAACTAATTTACCGCCACTACTCTTGTTGACTACGGACGGGGCGGCGGCGACAGCGCCGGCAGCCGCGGGCCTACTGTCCACTTGCGTGCACACAGTGTTCAGCACTTTATGCGAATTAGTCTTTTTCAGCGACTGTAGTGTCGCGTACTTCTCATTCACCGACAACTGTCGCTGTTGTGAAGTGCCGTAAATCACGTTTTGTTTAGAGTCATAGATCTCATGATTGGTTAGTTTGCTGTTGAGTGTAGCACTTTTGCCCCCGCGGGACAGTTGCGAGAGCGACGAGTGCCGGTCCAACGCGTTCACAATCACGTCGACACCGCCCATACCGGCGAACCCTCCGCCGCCGCCCGAGCCGTCCAGTTTGTTGTTCATAGACTTCACGTAATGATTCTCCGCATTCTGACGCCGGGCCTCGTCCTCATCGCACCGTTTCTCACGATTCAGACGTGACTTCCGGTGTTTGCAGACAATGATGGCGATGGCGGCAATGATGACCAACACTGGCACCGCTGCCGACACTAAACCGATTATAATGAGTTGCGTGGAGGACAGGGCTTCGGCCCGTTCGCTGGCCTCGACAGACATTGTGCTCGGAAGGGTCACTATAGCTGAGTCCGAGCCCAGAGCCGAACCGTTAACACTGTTGCTGAGCGACAACTTGGAGGCGACACCACTCGTGGACTGTTCGCATCGGTCGCCGGTATAGCCGGGAGCGCAGCGGCACTCGTACTCATCGACGCCGTCCACACACAGCGCGCCGTTAAGGCACGGATTGGATTCGCATTCATTCAGATTGAGTGAACAATCTTTGCCGGCAAAGCCGGGCCCGCACTGGCACTGGTAGTCGTTGACCAGATCGAGACAAGTGCCGCCGTTAGAGCACGGTTTGGCCAGACAGTCGTCGACGTTGTCCTGACACAGTTCGCCGATAAAGCCGGGCACACATAGACACCGGAATGAGTTCACGTCGTCCATACAGGTGCCCGCATTGGCGCACGGATTGGTCTCGCAGTCGTTGATATTGATCTCGCAGTGGTCGCCGGTATAGCCGGCCCGACACGTGCACTGGTACTGGTCGTGACCAACGGTAGCGCAACTGCCCTCTAAAATAATAGGGAGGCAAACAAAACATTCATAAAATATATGTTTCGGATGTGTGTTTGTGGGCAAAAAAGTTTGATTTCAAAACCCACTACTCTCTCTCTCTCTCTCTCACACACACACACACACACACACACATTATATATAATTTGTGATTTCCTGAAACCGTTTGGTTTTGTTGTGAGTTATATAATAAATGCGTGAAATTGTTTCGTAGGAAATAGCATGAAAAATATTTACCATTATGGCATGGGTTGGGATCGCAGTCTGTCTGTCGCACCTGACAGTGTTCGCCCTCATAGCCGGGCCGACAGATGCACATATAGCCGGACGGGCCGTCCAAACATGTGGCACCGTTAGAGCACGGGTTGTTCGTACATATGCTGGCCATTATCTCGCAGTGTTTGCCAGAGTAGCCCAGCGGACACTCACACGTGTAGTTGTTTGATGTCGTACTCTATAGGGTAGAGACAAATACAAAGAATTTGGTTAATAAATAATTTTTGCCAAAATAGTTATAAAGTATACATATTTTAAAATTATTGCATAAATATATTATGGGATATAATGTTTGCATTCGTGTCAAAAGTGGTTTCCCCTCCCGAAAAAGCTCCTGCCGTGTGAGACATCCGTTTCGTATTTAACAGTATGTGTTTGTTATGTACAGTGTATTTGGGATATAAGTTATATAACTATTGGTATATATCAGGCATTTTTTGGTTGGCTTTTATTTAGTTGCTGTGTGTGTGAAAAATTGTTTGGCAAGTGTTTAGCGATTTTTAACAAAATACAAATTACGATAACTCAAAATCTGTAGGCGTTTTCGTCCGAAAAAATAATAATAATTCTGTGTATTGTTATTATTATTACGATTATTGTGTTTCTCTCACATATTTTCATTGCGATAACTTTACTTTACATGCCTTAGCATAAGATATGCGAGTTTAGTGATGTTTCTAATGGCAAAAGCGATGCCCACCCAATCCATACATACAACTCCTTGTGTTAAATTATGGTAAATATTATACACATATCGATGCCCTGTGTCTTAATATTAAAGGACATGCCTTTTGACTAATAAATATAAACAAGAGATTTATATTCAAAAGCCAGACTAATATGCATTTAAAGCTCATTATAACTGTTAGTCTTTATGAGAGACTAAAAACTCAATTATTCACAACTCATTCAATAGCCTAACGAAATGCACACAAAATGTATAATAAAAATAATCAAAACTTGAGATTTGTTTTGTTGCCTCTCTTTTCCTTTGCTGTCCTTTTAATTGTCAATTAAAACGAGAGGAATATTTCTCTTAGTTTTTCGGCTCATATTTTATATTTGCTTTCATGGGTTATAATGAACCGAAAAAACTTGTTTATTGGGAATATATTTTCATAGTATGTGTACTGAGAATCGGTGAGAGAGAGAGAGAGAGAGAGAGAGAGAGAGAGAGAACAAAATACACAGTAGTTTAAGTGTCCTTTAAATAAAGGCAGAGAGAGAGAGAGAGAGAGAGAGAGAGAGAGAGACCGGGAATACGATAAATAATTAGATAATTAAAGGACGAGAAGAGAGGGGACGAAGAAATATGTCTAAAAAATTGAGATATTTTATCTTTTGTCGATACAAAAAGTTATAACAAATATATTGCCAAATATTCAGTGGCCATTCAAAATACACAGTAGTTTAAGTGTCCTTTAAATAAAAGCAGAGAGAGATAGAGAGAGAGAGAGAGAGCCAAAAATTGAAATAAAGTTTGCGCTGGTATTTCGTGAAAGAGTGCTGTCATGAGTGCCTTCGGGGCAATTGAAACGCCAGTGAATATAAAAAATATATATAAATTGTATGCGAAATATAACAATATTATATATGATGTGGACATGTATTTTTGAAGATCACATTATAATATACACTCGGATCTCAAACAACTACTACTGCTCGGTAAAAGAGAGCCTCTCTCTCTCTCTCTCAATTGCATTATAAGTCAAGTGTTTTTTGAATAATAGGGGCAGCGATGGTATGAAAATTTGGCGATTAAATGGATGGGGGCTTCGGATGGGGATAATGGGGGGCAAAACACAACGAAAATGAGAGATACATTTGGTATTGAATTGTAGTAAAACTACTACTTCTTCATCATTATTATATATTTGTCTGATTGTCTGAACACACGTGCAATCGTAAAGATATCAAATGAATTGCTTAAGAGGTATCAGTGATTGATAATAATGATGCTATCAGTTGACAGCACCGGTAGAGGCCAATGGATGTGAGAATTTATATATATAACTAACTTTATATATAAAGGTATGCATTCTTATGGTTCCGAGAAATACATTCTCAATACATAATGTAATGTAAGAAAAATATAAATAAATTGGGGTTTAGTTTATGTGTTATATATTTATATGAAAGAGAGGATAGAGAATAGGGAATAAGATTTACATAAAATTATCGCTTCAAAAGTGTCTTTCAAAATGTCTTTTGCCATTCATTTCAAAGAGAGAGACAACACAAGCAATGGTTAGTGTTTTTAATCATAACGAGAATATTATTTAAACACAAAAACACAAGCGTTTAAAAGAGACGGAAAGATAGTGAGAGGAAAACAGCAAAATTGTTTGTCATTTAAATAATACGAAACTCTATATAATAATAACATTCACTTGTTTTTATGAGGCGAGAGGTGTTAACACACCATTCAAGAAACACACGTGCAATCGTAAAGATATCAAATGAATTGCTTAAGAGGTATCAGTGATTGATAATAATGATGCTATCAGTTGACAGCACCGGTAGAGGCCAATGGATGTGAGAATTTATATATATAACTATATATAAGGTATGCATTCTTATGGTTCCGAGAAATACATTCTCAATACATAATGTAATGTAAGAAAAATATAAATAAATTGGGGTTTAGTTTATGTGTTATATATTTATATGAAAAAGAGGATAGAGAATAGGGAATAAGATTTACATAAAATTATCGCTTCAAAAGTGTCTTTCAAAATGTCTTTTGCCATTCATTTCAAAGTGAGACAACACAAGCAATGGTTAGTGTTTTTAATCATAACGAGAATATTATTTAAACACAAAAACACAAGCGTTTAAAAAGAGACGGAAAGATAGTGAGAGGAAAACAGCAAAATTGTTTGTCATTTAAATAATACGAAACTCTATATAATAATAACATTCACTTGTTTTTATGAGGCGAGAGGTGTTAACACACCATTCAAGTCAATGCGTTATTATTATAAGAAATTGGGTTTTAAAATGATTTCCTTCAGGAATACTGAAAGGCAAAAGTTTTTTAGCGATGAGAGAGAGAGAGAGAGAGAGAGAGAGAGAGAGAGAGCATTGTTTCGGATTGTCTGCCATAGACTTTATTATTATTATCTCCTTTTTCTCTAATATTACATAATATAATCCACTCGTGAAAGAAAAGACGGTTAATTTATTAGACTATTACCGGAGCTGTCAGTCCTAATAATAAAGTCCCAGTGATTGTTGCGCTCGGCATTTGATGGCATTGGCGTTAAGCAAGAAATATATAATATATATAAAATAAAATCATCGTTCGTTCACTATTTCTTCGCTTTCAATTAGAGAGCCATAGGTTTTATACATACGATATATCGTTAAAAAGCGAGAAAACATTTTCCCCCTCCCGATAGCGAATGGCACGCAATCCTATCGCCAATCAGTACTACAACAACGACTACCACTCAAGACATAACTAAACTTTACATAACGTATATTCAATGGATTTAAAATAAAGTAATGGCATATAAAGTGTTTGAAAGATTACCCCCGAAAAGAAATATTATCTAATATTATAAATACATTGAATAACTACTTTCTTGTACTCAAACTATACGTTACTATCTATAGGTTTGGCAACAATTTGTCTTCGGATTTGGGAATGGATTTTGATTTTTTAATAAACTTATGTCTCGTTATTGTTATGAAGTGATAGATCTCTCACGAGTTTTTCCTTCTTTGCCATTCACTTTAGTTATACATTTGCCGTTCATTTAACTTATTAGCGAATTATTAGACCAAAAAGCGTGCAATAAATGCCTGTACTCTCTCTCTCTCTCTCTCTCTCTCGTAGATGACAATTGATGGACAGACACATATTGACAGCCAAAAAGAAATATATCAAACATACAAAGAAAGTGTGTGTATATATGTATGTATGCGATGGCATGAATAGCGG